ACGTTGATGGCAGGTCCCTCAGAGATGATGTCTACGTTGGAGCCTTAGCGAAGGCTCGGGCCCTGGGCTGGCTGTTTCTTCTCCAGACCGTAGCGCTCTTCCATTAGCTCCATGATCTGCTGGGAGAACTGCTGCATAAAGTCGCCCGGGAAGGTCTGCGGTGGTACCAGCCCTGCCCTTTCTGCGTTGATGGCGAGGGGGCCCATGGGACGATCATCTGATGTCGGCGTTGATACATCGGGTTGAGATAGGATCTGCGCTGACGTCACTGTAGCTGAGACCGGTCGTTTCTTGTGATGCACCTCTGGGATGATGATCGGCTGATCATCATACAGGCCCTGTTCTGCAACGGGAACAATCTCGGCCGAAAGTTCTAGTAGTCTGCGTTGGCTTCCCTTTGGTGGCGGACGCTGCCCTGGGGGTGCGAAGTCTGCGCTGGGTGGTAGACGACTTCCGAGTCTTGGACTGCGACGACGGGATGACTGGAGATGCAGGTCTCTTCTTGGAGGTGGCGGACCGTCCCACGCCTCTCCTCGAGGAAACTCCAGCGGAACACCAGGCGGTAGGGGTAGTCCGACAGCAGTTGACTGGTGAGGGACTCAGCTGTGTTGTCCATGACTGGATCAATCCTGAAGCGACCTATCTGCATGCGCCTCAGGGCTTAAAGTAAATATTTATTAAATTCACAATTTGATAAAAGCTTGCAACAATTGCAGCGGGAGCTGAAAAAACATGGTACTGTGCAACTAGGGCATACTAAGTGCGGGTCAGCAGCAGAGAAACGTAACTTACATACGGAACAGATTTTCATGAACGTAAACTACTGAACAAACACGGAATACACCGTGAATAAACAGTTGTAAATACAAATAAATATCAAAACATATTGATGAAGGATACTAGCTAAACCTCTATAAAAAACTTATAGAGGTAACTAACTAAATAATCAAAGGATATAGTGCCGTAAGGAGACACAGGCGCTCTCACAACCTGCTCACTGGGTGAAGAAGGAGAGAGTGAGGCATGTGGGAGAACAGTGGCGCCAGTTTCCCACCAAAACGGAAGGAGGGACAACTCTTGGTGAGTAGTGATTAGTGATTTTACATTGAAGGGAGAGCTTCAATAGGAGATACAAGTGTTCCACTATGTTCGCAAGAAGAAGAAGAAGACAAGCAATTAAGCATGAGTCAGGATAAGGAAAAATAGTAAATAATCTACTCGTTACATAAAAGAACCTTGTTAAAGATATACATCTACTCAGCTATGTGTCAACCAGTGAGGCGTTCGACATTTCAAGATGGAAAATCTTCGCTGGCAGTGAGTACTCGGAGTAGGCTTTGATGTGTGCTATTTTTCTAATGTTTTGTTGATATTTAACAGGTGCGAGCTTTTCATATGTTATGACAGTACATTACCGATTTAACTGTTTATATAATTTCATTTGACTATTTCACCATACGTTCTTCTTACCGAGTCACTTTCTCACTTTGATACTTAACAGCAACATCATTATTTAGCATTGTCAGAACTTCTAACTGTGATATAGATATGTCTCTGTCACAGACAAAACTCAATGTCTGCTTTATTGACACTTGTGTGTCTGCCTACCTATCTGCTGATGACAATATGCAATACACTGCAACATCAATCATTGACCACAATTGAAATTTGAACTTAACACCTATCAGGTTATAAACCATAAACAAAACACATTGATTTATGGCTCGTGCACCTGAGTTCTGTCTCTGTCACCTTATGTAATTGGTTACAGGCCGGGAGAGCCACATTTCCGAAACAGATAGCCAAAATTGATGTGTCTCTCCCGGGAATAGTTATGGTTGCGTGAACATGGAATGTGGCTCTCCCGGCTATGCTGTCAAAATATGCTTTGTGATTCAAACACGTTACCGTATTTAACAAAACAAGACATGTTTCCTCATGATTTTATTCAGATAACAACAGATTTTATTTTTATAATTAGCACAATATAATATGCTAATATTACGTATAATTTTATCACATAATAATAACAAAATCTTAATCTGTAAAACATAACAATAATGACAATGGTTTATTGAGTTGCCATGTGTACATTTCTTATGAAAACTTTCTGCTGCATTGTGATGCATGGACGTCCACTTCTTGGTGTATCTACAGTGACCCCAGTCTGCCTGTAGCGCTGAATAAGTCTTATAACTGTGATATGGTGGCAACAGCATTGTATGTCGACCCCATCTGCAACATCCCAATGGCTCTTTCCCTCTCTTCCGCTGTTAATCGTGGCATATTTCTCCTACTTGTGTATCATATCATGCATTCTAGACTTTCTTTATACCCTATAGAATCATTCTACACATGAAATTGATGCAAATAATGCTTGAATATTGCTATGTTTTGGCGATTGATATTGCTGTGTGTAAATGTTACTTCGCAAGCAAAAATGTTTACAAAGATCATTTTCGGTGTTCCTAAACACAATATCAAAGACACGTTGTACTTGTTTTCACTAATGCAAATCAGCGGAATTTTATTTCAACCTTTCTTTTGGACATCTAAATCACTGTTATTGTGTTTATTTCGGCAAGGTCGAAATAGGACAATTTAACTCTTTGAAAAAGATGCAGTTCACCTGAATATGAATGCGTTTGAGAATTTGGTTCCTGATTTGCATAAAGCTGTGTTGTTAAGCTGTCTTGTAAACAAATACCTTCTAACATGTTTTTGATAGTTTTTAAGTATATCATAGATGGTAGGAGGGCAATGTTTCTTTTGGCGTTTAGTGTAGGGACAGTCTTTTACTGGTTACGGTAATCCTTTAATTGAAATGTGGCTTTACCGGCTACAGCCATATAATTGAAATGTGGCCTTCCCGGCAATAGTCATGTTCTAAATGTGGCTTTCCTGGCAGAAATGTGGCTTTCCCGGCCAGACAGTGACACCATGTAATTACATAGACAAGCAGGTGTGATACTTGTACACATGACATGTTATGATGTCTGTTGATTGCAAAATGTTATACACAAAATATGAGCATGTATTTACAAAACCCAACATCTCTATACACACACAAAGAGCCCGGAGCGTATCGACAAATGAACCAGCCAATGAAAGTCGTCGTTACACTTAAGTGCACACCCACCTCTGACTGCGTTTGGTATCCCGGGTGCTTCGTTTCGAGGGTAGTAAACCCTAGTAAAAAATATTGCACTTTTGATTTGCGATTGTACGCTTATAAGTTTGTTTATTTGTTTTTTCATAATCAGCAATGTATATTTTATGTCATGAATAAATGATAATTGTGTTTTATTTATGTTTATTTTTTTGGTTGCATCTAAGCTTTAAGGTAGAGACACTTTGACTTACTGTGACAGTTTGAGGTAGTGACCTACTATGACAGGTTAAGGTAGAGACACTATGACATACTGTGACAGGTTAAGGTAGACATACTATGACAGGTTAAGGTAGAGACACTATGACATACTGTGACAGGTTAAGGTAGAGACACTATGACATACTATTACAGGTTAAGGTAGAGACACTATGACATACTATGACAGGTTAAGGTAGAGACACTATGACATACTGTGACAGGTTAAGGTAGGGACACTTTGACATACTATGACAGGTTAAGGTAGAGACACTATGACATACTATTACAGGTTAAGGTAGAGACACTATGACATACTATGGCAGGTTAAGGTAGAGACACTATGACTTACTGTGACAGCTTGAGGTAGAGACACACTGTGACCTACTATGACAGGTTAAGGTAGAGACACTATGACTTACTGTGACAGGTTAAGGTAGAGACACTATGACATACTATGACAGGTTAAGGTAGAGACACTATGCCATACTATGGCAGGTTAAGGTAGAGACACCATGACATACTATGGCAGGTTAAGGTAGAGACACTATGACTTACTGTGACAGCTTGAGGTAGAGACACACTGTGACCTACTATGACAGGTTAAGGTAGAGACACTATGACATACTATGACAGGTTAAGGTAGAGACACTATGACATACTGTGACAGGTTAAGGTAGAGACACTATGACATACTATGACAGGTTAAGGTAGAGACACTATGACATACTGTGACAGGTTAAGGTAGAGACACTATGACATACTATGACAGGTTAAGGTAGAGCCACTATGACATACTGTGACAGGTTAAGGTAGAGACACTATGACATACTATGACAGGTTAAGGTAGAGACACTATGACACTATGGCAGGTTAAGGTAGAGACACACTGTGACCTACTATGACAGGTTAAGGTAGAGACACTATGACATACTGGGACAGTTTAAGGTAGTGACATACTGTGACAGCTTCAAGTAGTGACACACTGTGACCCACTGTGACAGGTTAAGGTAAAGACACTATGACTTACTGTGACAGTTTAAGGTAGTGACATACTGTGACAGCTTCAAGTAGAGACACACTGTGACCTACTATGACAGGTTAAGGTAGAGACACTATGACTTACTGTGACAGCTTGAGGTAGAGACACACTGTGACCTACTATGACAGGTTAAGGTAGAGACACTATGACTTATTGTGACAGCTTGAGGTAGAGACACACTGTGACCTACTATGACAGGTTAAGGTAGAGACACTATGACTTACTGTGACAGTTTAAGGTAGAGACACACTGTGACCTACTATGACAGGTTAAGGTAGAGACACTATGACTTACTGTGACAGCTTGAGGTAGAGACACACTGTGACCTACTATGACAGGTTAAGGTAGAGACACGATCACACTCTGTGACAGCTTCAAGTAGTGACACACTGTGACCTACTATGACAGGTTAAGGTAGAGACACTATGACATACTGGGACAGTTTAAGGTAGTGACATACTGTGACAGCTTCAAGTAGTGCACACTGTGACCCACTGTGACAGGTTAAGATAGAGACACTATGACTTACTGTGACAGTTTAAGGTAGTGACATACTGTGACAGCTTCAAGTAGTGACACACTATAACTTACTGTGACAGCTTGAGAGTTTTGGTGCCTGGAGCAATGAAACCAGAGTGGAACTGCAGCTGACAGATCTTCATGGAGGTGATCTAACAAAATTAGAAAACAGTAGTCATGTTACAGTTATAAGGAGATACAGGTTTATCCTCATAGAACCTTACCATTTACAAAAATAGTGGACATGAAATCAAAAGTTTCAATTTTTAACAGAGACAGCCACGTATTGCTGCTGCTATTTGTGTAAAACTATTAAGGACATAAGTATTACCAATTAATAACTACCCACAATGTTCCCATATCTGCTAGAATGAATGTGCTGTTATTATTTACCTGTTTACTTCACACAAAGTTCAACACTGAACCTCACAAACTTTCTATGGTGATCGTCACTATCCCAAATATTAGATCATTAGAATTGTGTTTGTACATAAAGTAGCTAATAAAGAAGTGAATGTTCACTAGAAGTGACAGGTTGGGTGGCATAATGCCATCAGAAAATGACTAAATCTGAAAGTCCCATTCTCTAGAAAGAAATAATTTATAGCATCAGTTTTCAAACACAGTCTTGTTAAGTATCTCTGGGATAGGCATGCAAAATGTCATTCATTTACCTTCAGTAGTTTTTGAGAAAACCTAACCCCATTGCAGACACTATGCACTGATAACATGGTTGTAAGTTTGTATGATCAAGATCTCAACACATGTATCAAGGTCCGTTACTGAGTAAAACAATCATCTACACCAGTCATTTTTAGTCTTGACATGTATATCTAAGCTATGTATGTGCTTTCATTTTTGGTCATTCTGTAGTTTCTGAGAAAATCTGTCCACATTTCAAGAAGTATGTACAAGTTGAAAGGCACAGGGCAAGGGACATAACTCTTTATAAGAGGAATTTAGCCATTAATTTTCAAATGAATCTGAGATCATGACCACTAACATCATAACTGGTAGCTACCCCACCACCCAATTTTTTCTGAAAATGAGTACGTTCAGTTTTACGCCACACTCAGCAATATTCCAGCTATATGACAGCGGTCTGTAAATAATCGAGTCTGGATCTGGCATTCCAGTGATCAACAGCATGAGCATCAATCTACACAATTGGGACATGGTGACATGTGCCAACCAAGTCAGAGAGCCTGACCAAACGATCCTGTTAGTTGCTTCTTATGACAAGCATGGGGTACTGAAGATCAATTCTAACCCGTATCTTCACGGGTCTTTTATAGAAAAGAACAGTAATGCTGTGAACATTGATGTCCTGACAATGTGAAACATACGCTCTACATTCTCTGAAATAGTGTATGTACACTCAGCAGAAATAGCTGAGCAGCCACTGAAAATCAGACTGCAACCTCTTAAAACATATTTACTTCATCAGTCCATCAGTGGTGGGTACAAGCATATGAAGCTTCAACTTTTTTGGATGGGTGGTTTTGAGGAGCGATGATAACAGTGTGAAGGAACACATTTTTGGAGAATTTTGGAGCATAGTATGAGTGCAAGGACAGATAATGGTAAACTTTCAAATACAGCTAAAATAGGACACATATAGTGTCCTACAGCCAGCTAGGAATGTAACAGATTTCATTTTCATTTCCATCAGTAATGCCAATCATGCATTTTTTCAACAAAAATACAAAAGTCCAATAAATACTTCTTTAACAAACTGGGGTTGGCCCAGTGTTTTCTGAGATGTCTACCACGAAAGATGGATCCTGGACAAAAAAAACACAAAATAGCTCCCTTGACTCTCAGACTGATAAGACATGATTGGATCAAATTACATTAGTTTGACCAACTTAAGTGACAACCTTGTGACCATGTTTGGGGAAATGTACCTTTCCCTGGATCTTGCCTCCAAATGTTGATCTCGCGTGATAGACGACAACAGTCACATCTCCTGTACAGGACGCGTTAAGTGGCACCCGACATGATCCATCCTCAGTAGTGAACTGTCTGCAAAGGTAACACCACTCTTATACCATGGGCATGGTCAGTAGACCCGGTATGAATCGGGAGTGAACTTACCTTGTTGATCAGAGAGGGTTAGGAATCAGCAGTGGGTGATAGTGTGAGCACTGAGGTTACCATATATACTCTTACAAAAAAGTAGGGGAATTTCATTTTAATTTACAATTGAAAAATTTGGGAGATATATCGGAGTCAATCAATGTTGATATGATAATAATGAATGTTTTGAGAGTGCATCACTACTTGCTCTTCCTCATGACCATAGTTGTTTGTACAGAAAGATGATTGGTGTATGACGTGAAAGTTGCATGTGTACCATTTTCATTTTCAAACAAACAAGCATTGTCACTAAGGTGACATAATCCCCCGCTACTAATTATCAAATCAAACTTAAAAAGTAATGAAAGTTTAATATGAAGTTAAATGTCAACAAAAACATGACCAGTCAACCTCTCTTGATATCTTGCTCTTTAGTCGTTCAAACACACAAATATTTTCAAGACTCACTTTGACCTTGACATGAATGTCATAGTGTATGAAAAATGCAAAAGTGGTACAAGGGTACATCAAGGGCAGTCTTGAAAATCTATGAAGAAAATCCAGTGAATTCAGGTTAACATGCTGAAATCTTTAAAGTGTCACCATGACCTTGAAAACTTAATGAAGGTCACCAAAATCGACTGAGCCCTGTGCCTTACCCAGATAAAGCTTGGTGTTGAACATGAAAAAAATCTAGTGAACGGTTCTTGAGATAACTCGCTGACAAGAGTAAGACGTTAAAGTCCCCATGTGACCTTGAAATGAAGATCAAGGTCACCAAACCTGACTGGGACCTTTCTTATACTGGTAACCTAGGTACCAAATATGAAAACAATCTAGTCAACGGATCTTAAGATATTCCAATTGATACGTACGTACGGACGGACTGAGCCTAATACTTTATCCCCCGCCGCGCGTTTAGCTAGTAACAAACACTAACAACTGTGTGATGCAAGATGATTGTCAAACTAAATGGTCTACAGTGACTTATTGATCTCCTTAAAAAACGTCAAAATCAAGAATGACACACCATGCACGTGTATGGGGCTACTGCGTTGTGCACGTGCATCTCATGCGTTGTGTTTAGGGGTGGTAATAAAATGGTGGTGCGTTCATAAGATGTCTGTCTTTGAAAACTTTGTTAACGCTTATAATTCCTATCCAAATTGAAAGTACAGGTTCCCCTTCTTTTTTTAAAGAATATGTATAATCAGTGTATGAAATAAGGCAATCCGACGGACGGTCTAAATTTACAGCTAGCCAGCCTGATGGTCTAGTACAAATTTTAGATAACATGTTCCATACATCTCAGTACTTTTCTTTCCATTGCCTGGTCTGGTTACATCCATTTTGGGCTGGTAACAGTTTGAAGTTACCCTGATGTCTGGCAGGGTTTTTGGCCTATTAATACACTGATATGAGGAGATCCACCTTCACAATCCAAAATCTGTCAATATTAATAATAAATACTTTTATGTGTGACTAGCCATGCACACCCAATCAGTGTCTGAGTGGAAGATCATTCCATTAGACACTAACTTTATCAGGCAATGATCCCAGACCAACAGTCAAGAAGCATAATTTGAGGGTTGGTCACATGCTAGAACATTGGAATGGATAAGTTCACACAAATACTGGTAAAAGTCAATGATCACGTCTATATATCTGACAAGGAATCTTAAAGTCAATTGAGGCTGCCAACGGAGGTCTCTGAGCAATGTTGTTATGGAACCTTTATCTCTACAAGGTATACATCTGTATTCTGTGTCCTCTGTAGGTTGTCACAGACCTAATGGGACGTTGAGTGAGAGGTGGTAGGTCTGACACACACCATTTAATAAAATCTCCATGGATATCAGCATATATTAACTACAAGATCTCTGGAGGAGTCACATACATATTCATTCTGGCATCTGTGACTGCTAATCTTTCTATGTAGTAACTCTCCCAAGCTGATGTGAAGTTCCAACCATGACTGGCTTTCATTTTACTGTCATTGGGTTCCAGCATGCTGGCCAACATCCACAACTTAATGTCTTCAGTGCATGTCCAGCGACTGACATTAGATAGGAGGCATGTCTGGAGGAGTTGAGTCTTATCACAATCAGCAAACTGGCTTTGATATAGGCATCACAAGAGAGCATATTTTCTGCTGTACCATGTCCTGACAGTTTCTATCCTACTTGCAAGTTTGAGAAAAGGGGCACATTAGGACCAAACTGCTTCAGATCCCTCCACGAACACCCAAGTTATCACTGGACTATACACGCTAATGGTGGGGAAATAGGTGGTAAAACATACCTCATACGCTCATACTCCAGGGAAGTGGTCAACACACGGTCATCACCAACGTAAACCTCCACAAAGGGTGTGCAGCCATTCCTTCACAAAACAAAAAATCGGAAAATATATTATTACCTACGAGGGCGAACATATCAGGGTTCATATTTTTCATACAACTGACTGACTGAGTTTAGTTTTACGCCGCTTTTAGCAATATTCCAGCAATATCACGGCGGGGGACACCAGAAATGGGCTTCACACATTGTGCCCATGTGGGGAATCGAACCCGGATCCTCGGCGTGACGAGCCAACGCTTTAACCACTAGGCTACTCCACCGCCCCTATTTTTCATACGATGCCCTAGGGCAAAATATCACTTTGTCATGGTGACGTGATATCATGAACAATGCTATGACGTCACGTTTCTTCTGTGACATTGCGTTCTACATGCGGCGATGGCAGGTCCACAGCCTATGTTTGAAAGTAGATTTGGGTTTATTTTCCTCAATTTGACGACTTCGGTAATAAACAGAATATTATATTTGTGCCCATATCATACTATGTTTACGCACGCGTGCCTAAATATCGGTATATCCCTCGCTCTCGCTCGGCAAATACCAACATTTAGGCACTCGTGTCGTAAACATAGTATGACATGGGCACTCATATAATATCCTGTATTTATTATGAAAACAAAAGTTCCTACATGAATTAAAAGAAGACAGCACCTTAGGGACTGACAATCAAAAGTAAATTGTTCCTGAAAATTCTTGAAAAAATTCTGCTTCCTGCATTTGAAAAAAGTAAAGAAATTGTCTGCCACAAAAATTACAACAAATACTACCGCATCCCTCACACACACACTTATATCAAAAGTTGTCACCTTAATTGGAGGACTTCAAGGATTCTTCATTGTGACACCAGTTTGGCTTTGTATCAGATAAAGAAACATGATGACTTTCCATGTGACTTCCCATAACTGAAAGCACTGCTTATCTCAAATATACTACACAGCATTTGCCTGACCATGCTAACAGACCAAGTACCTATATAACTGAGAATAAATCTTGAAGACATATCCCTCTTTGCACTTGAAAGTGATAAATGTGTAGAAGTATCGAAATAGTTCCCCTCCACAAATACATATCCAGTGCTAATGTAGTGGAGCCTTACTTCATCTTGTTGAAGAGGGGCACTGGTGACATGACCAGCTGGGCCAGCATCACAGGACGGCTGTGGGGCTTCACTTCTTCATCAGACACCATCTCACTGATGTAGTTGATGTACCTGTACACACAGGCAAGTCAGCAGACATCAGAGGAAAGAGCAACAAGCTGGCATGCTACCAATCAAATTATGCAAACATAACTATATATTTCTCTTTCATTTTACTGTAAACAAAGGATGCCAAGATCCTATTTACTAACCTTTTCTGAGATGGTGAGACAGCTGGGGCCAGCCTGCGAGCAGTGAACATATGTAGTGCTGACTCAGCGCTGTCAAACAGGCGACAGAACACCAGCAATGCTCCAACGACTGTTGCCGACTGGGCCTTACCATCCAGACAGTGGACAACACAGATGTTCTTGGGGTTTTGGCGTAACCAAAGGTGCATGTTCTTGCATATGGCAAACAGGTTAGCTAGTGTTGGAGCCTTCTTCTGAACCCAGCCACATTCAGACACCTGCAGGCAATCACACATATGAAGTCTCTGGCTGAATATATCATTGTGACAAACACACAGACAATTACCTTACATGCAACAGACACACGAACAAAGGCACATGTCTAAATGTGAATGTCACAAACTGATTTCAATTTCATACTTTAATGAAAACTTAACAGATTAGTAAATCTGAACATCCTGTTTTGAAATACTTATCAAGCTTATGAAGCTCAAGGTGTTTTAACTACAGTAGATCATAGATATAGTGAACACGGATATAGCGTACAAAGGGATATAGCGAACAAATTTAAAAGTCCTGTCAATAGTCCTTTATAAAATTATTAAAATTATACGCGAATAACGAACTCGTGAGTAGCAAATTAACGGCTATAGCGAACTCCACTGATTTGCTACCCCCAAGACCCAATTAACGGTGTGATTAGCGAACTCACTCAGTGTCAGCTCAGCCACTTAGCGGTATACATTAACCTTGTTGGCGGCGAATCAACATTGTTTGATGGTCATTAATTAATTAACAAAACAAACATATCATGTTTTAAAGCTTGACTGGTATACAGGTCTTAAGTTCACTCTCGTCAAGGCAAACGTAAAGCTATCACCTTTGACACCAAGCTTCAGATAATTCAGGCTGTAGATTCAGGTGTAAAATCTAAGACAAGCATCGCTTTCGACTTTGGCATTCCAAAATCCACTCTCAGTTCCATTATTAAGAATCGCGAACCTATTCTTGCAAAATCTGTGTCTACTGATTTTGGCCCCGCCCACAAAAAGTTAAGAGCTGCCAATCACCAAGATGCAGAAGATGCTCTCTACAAATGGTTTCAAGGGGCTAGAAGTGAGAACATTACCTTAAATGGTCCCATGTTGCAGACTAAGGCAAATGAATTGGCATCTAAGTTAGGTCATTTAGATTCTAATTGCAATAGTGCTTGGATTGATAGATTCAAACAGAGGCGTGGCATCGTATGTAAATCATTTCACGGGGAAAGTGCATCTGTTGACCCCGACCTCGTCAATGATTCGCTGAAAACTCGCCTGCCTGGCTATCTTGAAGAGTACAAGCCTGATAACATTTTCAATGCTGACGATATATTGTTGATATTGTTGTGATTGTTAAACATGTTCTAGCTAATGTCTGTGAATGATAAATTCAGAAATTTAATGTTATGTCAATGTACATGAATAAAGATTTGTAGCCTCAGCATATACATCTCTCTACATCTCTACAATCCAAGATGGCGGTCAAATGTGAATAACGAACAACGGATATAGCGAACTAAATTTCTTGGTCCCTTGGAGTTCGTTATATCCATGTTCTACTGTTCAATGTTAAATAAAATAAATAATGTAAGTGTCAACGTATCTTTAAACAAAAGGCCTTTTCCACAAATGCTGTTTGCCCTTATTGCTGGATCCTGCTGATATATTCCATGACATATGCACATCATGGCGGTACAAACCATCTTGGCAGCACAGCAATGTAGTTCAGAGACTTACCCTATTTTCAAATTTGGCCACTCTATATGATCTTTGTGACAGGTTATAGACAGCATATGAGTTTCGGTGCCGATTCTCCAGGAAGGCCCGTACATCATCTATATGGTTCTTGATGGCTGACTCCACGCCTTCTGCTGGATACGACATCACTGTGGAGTACAAGTGACATGTGGGTGGGAGGCTGTATGAGCAGTATATTGTGGAATGTTCACTGTTGTTTTCAGTGTCACTCATCCAGATTTGACATTACTGCCTTTACTGATACTTGGTGATTGGAGAAAACAAAATCACTTTCAAAGCACTTTGGAGAACAATCCCAATTTCCACAGCAATAGACATAGAAACCAGCCTGCTGTAGAAACCCAGGAACAGTTGTTCACAGAACATAGCATAGCTATGCACTGGTTGGACATAACTTCTTGTGTTGGACTTAACTTTGCTATGCAGGACTTTCACATTCCCTTCCTATTCTGCCAAGATTTCATGTTCCAATATAAACAGTTAACATGAAGGCTGTGCAACATCATTGATTGTACTGAAAAACTTAAAAAACACTGTACATACACTGCAATAATATCCTCAGTGAACTATCGGTATACTATTCAAATAGTATTTCTCAATATCCTTGTCCACTTGAAGAACACATTCAAAATCTAAATTGATGATTCTAAATACCGCAACCTTCAAATTCTACAAGAATCTTTTGTGAGGCAAGCGAATGAACTGTTTGGAGTACTGAACTAAACTTCATCATTCCATTTCTTGGGTATACTAAACCTTTGTCAAAACAGGTACATCTCCACCATCAAACACCTACCTGAGAGTCTGGACGTGATGTAGGAAAAGTCAAGATCTGATTTGTTCATTGTTCTGAAATGGAAGAAATAACTGAGTGAGGGAGTAAGCTTAGTCTTCAATATTCCAGCAATATCATGGCTGCGGACACCAGAAATGGGCTTCATGAGTGAACGCTTTAACCACTAAGGTACATCACTGTCGCAGAAGACACAACTGCTTTTACATGTTAAACAGAGAATGACATCCGGAAATCTGATCCTGTGATTTCTACTGATACAGAGAACAGAGTGATAGCGTGACTTCAGCTGATACAGAGAAAAGAGGTGTACTTACGCTGATACAGTCTCCATGACCTTGCTGGAAGCATCCTTGATGTTCTTCACTAGACTGCCTGCACCACCTCTGAGACTGGAGAAGAGGGCTGTGGCACTGGACTGGGCAGGTGATGGTGCTGACCTCTGTGGAGTCCCCAGGTTGTTCACAGGAGGTCTTGATGCAGGTTCTGCGTTATAAGATGGAATGCAATTACAAAATAAAGCACACAAGGCTACGAGACTGATGAAGTCTTCAACTAACAATCCCTCAGTAACTTACTATCTGTTCTCCAGAAGCATAATTTGATCACATCTACAACAGTTGGAATGCAAAGCCAAAGTACAGGGTGTATAATCTCATGTGGATTGTGGACCTGTTGTGAATTTAATTGTATGACTGTATGCTTTTGATATGATAGCTCTTAACCAAATATGCCTTGATGTTCTTGGAAACCTTGTCTCATCACATCCTCAGCTGATAGGCTTGACAGATACAGCTAGGAATCAAAGCGTCTGAGACTGGATCAAGTGTTGACCTTTGCAGACTGACCAACATCACAAATGGAACTGAAGTTGTTGTGCTTTTGAAGAATCTGAAGATCACAACTGTTCAAAATGCAGACATTTACGTAAGACTGAAAGCTCACTCCCTTCTTGTGATGGATCGTCATGTGAGTGAGTTGTGGCATGAAAGAACTACAGTGCTACAGAAATTCCAGCTAGTAGGCCAAGTAATTGTAGTGTCTGCTGTGAATTACAACCCAGGGATGTAGATGATGTACTGAAAGGACTGGAACGTGTAGATAGGTGTCTTACACATCTAATGATGCCAAGATGCCGCCTATCTGATATGATGAAAGTTGAAACATAGATCCTTCAGGGACAATAGAGTGAAGTAAGTTGGTGAATCCTGCACATTACTTTCAAATTCCTGTTGTGGGTTATGTCTAGAGAGGACTGTTTCAAATGGATGTGGAACCAAAAGAGAACCACTAACATTAACTAACAATACCCTGGACATGTTCACATAACAGCCTGCAAACTTGCAAGTGAGAGTGGCTTGAGACTACAACCATAAGCATCACAGTACTTGCTCCCAATATATGGTGACTTTGTCTATAGTTAGGGAAGATGTTGTCAAATTTTAGCCGTGTATCCTGTACATCATTCTACTCATCGTCAGTGAAGTCACAGGCACCATTGATATAGAAGGCACAAGTAGTTGGCAGTAGTTCAGGTACTGGTTCCAACGCTGAGGTAACATAACTCGCCTGAGGAGCAGTACTTGCAGGTGCTCATGTAGACCCATTCGGGATGAATCTAACAGGATCATCCAAAGTCTAAGATAATCCAATGTTGCATCAAGTGACACTAGAATATGGCGGAACAACTCCTGAAGGCAACTGATAATCTGCGAAGACAATTACTCAGATTGAGAGTCTGGTTTTGACACTTGTCTAAAACGTATTAATCGCTTTGTCATACATAGTACAGCTAGATGACACCTTCTGTGTTACCATCTTTCTGATTCTTTTAAGATGAAGTTAAAGAGGATCCATGGATAGGCACTCACACTCTCAACAGAAGCTCTCTCTACAGTTTTGGAACAGCGAGTGTGGTTCAGGTTAATATGATGACTTACTACAGCAGAAGGTGGAAATCTGAGGGGAAGATCCTCTTCTAAACATTTCATGCTCCCATAACCACTTGCGCAAGACATAACACAGGAAAGGACAATCAACTATACAGCACTATGCAAAAGGACACAAAATAACAACACTGCAAACACATAAATGATGAAAGCATATTTGTTTGAAGGAGCCCTCCACTGGAAGGTCAGTTACAAATGTAATCCAGACAAATTCAGAAACCTCAACATCGATATTAAATGGCTAGCATGCAAAGGCTTATTGCCAGCTGTGGTGGAAGGAAGGAAAAGTGAGGTAACTACTTGGTGACCCGGACACATGTCTGTCTTCTGTGCACAGTCTAAAGATAAAATATCACTTGCAAAATATTACATCACAATGAGACATAATCTACAATTTATCAGTGGGTGTTAAAGTACTGTCGGAAATAGAAAAACCCTGTTTTAGGCTGTAACTCTGTATCCCAAAAATTTTCACAATTGCAAATAGCATGTGTCGAAATAATCCACACCGGCCTAACTGGGCGTTCAGAGGGATGCGTAATAGGATATCCAGAAAAGCATGTTTACTTGTAAAATCGGACAAAACTTAGAAAAAATACCTGTAGCTGCTGAAAACAATAGATCAGACTATAGATGGCAATTAGGTCGCTCAGCCAGGTATGACGACGGACTGTCAACTCACCTGGCATGAAATGCATGTGCTGCCTACAAGGGGTCATCTCAAAGATATTTTATGCTTTTTATGTGTTTCATCTATTGATTAACATCTTACGTGTCTTTCTTTCATAAAGTTTATGTTGTGATATGTAAAAGAGTATGATACCCATAGAAAAGCTTATATCAGCCATCGTATGAAATGTCTCAAAATATATAGGTGGCATGACCACCAGAAGATCGACAGGATCGGATATTATTTGTAAATTGTCATGACATGCCATTTTCTTCCCCAGTTTAATTCTAAAGGATTATTTTATCTTAGCTAATATCTCTATTTCCCCAGCCCAACCTCAACCACCGTCTGCGACACCCGCTCTGGTTTTGCTTTTGAGACGACCCCTCCTACCTGTTTCTTTTTATAGTGATAGTGAAACTCCATGGCAGCTACATCCTGAATAGTTTCAGTGTTAAAGTTATTATTTTTTATGTCACCTATCTTTTAAATGAAACTAAGTTTAATTACAAAATGGGCATTTAAAAAGTGTCCTTTGTAATACAATATCATCGCACGCTAATTTGCATAAAGCCACGGTCTGTTCCAAATAAGTTGCTTTGGACTTAGAAAAAAACACATTGCTCATTTCTGCACTAATTTCTCCTCAGTAAAGTCTGTTTTCTACGTTTCCTATCTCCCTACCACTGAGACTGTAGTAAGGCCAAATTTAGTTTAACAGATATTTCACACTTTTATATCTCAACTACATAAATTGTAGAAATAAATGAGAAAAAACAGTTTTTTTCTATTTCCGACATTACTTTAGTTCAACATTTACTTATGCTGTCATACCTTGACTGGTCGCAACTGTTACATCTCCAATCTGCAGTGCTTCTTTTAGGTTGACTCTCCTGGCTGCAGCAATTGCCTGCAGGCGGTCAATGATGTCCGATATATCTGGCCGCTGAGTCGGGTCCACTTGCAGCATGGCTCCTGTAATGTGAACATTACAGTGCTCTCTCACCTGGCTCTTTTTGTCATATACTACCCATCAAAAGTTTAGATTCACTTCAAGCACTCACTATATGTTATCTATATATATGTGGTTACATCGAAGATGAATTTCTCCACTAACTTGCGGGAACCAACTGCAAACCTTATGCAGATGAATAGCATGAGGATCATGCATCAAATTGCTGAAAAGCATGTGCAAAAATCGTGCATGTGAACACCTGCGTTTTGGTGTAAAGTTTTGTTAAGAATTCTCCAATTTTCACTGAGCTTCATCATTTATTGAACTCATGACAATAATCTTTTCAACATTACAAATTTGTTTTACAATACAGTTCATGTGTAAACAGTACCTTTAAACAGTATGGAATACTTTGCAAAATCTAGTTTAGAACAGTTGACTGAAGAAAGTTGTTATGTTATGTCATCTACATCCGCGCGTATGAGCGCGTGAGCACGTGGTGTGATTACGTCACATAGTGACATAATAACCTTGGCAGATGTACCTCACTTCGAACCATGCGATTAAACTATGCAGACCTACGATATCTCATGTGTTTTATTTAGAAGGTCGGAGTCAGTACACAACAGTGGCGACGAGGATTACAGAATTCCTACCTATTGGAAGTGCTAATTACATTTGCTAATGAATATTTCATCGTTAGCGGTGAAAGTTGAAGTTTGACATTGGAAAAACGTGGTTAATTGTTCAGTGATATTTCAATATGGCGGGCGTCATTGGTGAAGTTGGAATTTTTGAAGAAAACAAGGAGGATTGGGCATCATATGCGAAGAGTGCAGTTATTCTTTGATGCTAATGAAGTCATTGATGCTCGTCGTGTGTCAGGATTTTTGTCCATGATTGGAAGTAAGACTTATGCAGTGCTGAAGTCGTTGACGGCGCCGAGCAAGACCACAAGACCGGACTCTTGGTGAATTGGTAACCCTGTTACAGAATCATTTCACGCCAGCCCGCTTCGTGATAGCAGAGATACCGATTTCAAAAGAGAATGCAAGCTGGCGGTGAGACTATTTCGCAATATTCTGTGGTTTTGAGAGGACTTACTCGAATTGCCAGTTTGAAGACACTTTGAATGAGCGTTTACGTGATCAGTTAGTGCTTGGATTAAGATCTACTTCGATTCAAAGGAAATTACTTGCAGAAAATGACCTGACTCTTGATCGTGCACTTGCTATCGCCAAATTCTATGGAGTTAGCAGCGAAGGATTGCGAGGAACTAAGCAGAGGCTCTGACAGTTTGAAGGGCGTACTGCCGGATGTATATGTTTTTAACAGCAAACCTAAAAACTCTGGCAGTAAATGGTGTTTCCGATGTGGAAGCGTTTTTCATCTCATAAGCGGCTTGTAAGCATAAAGACACCGTGTGTTTGAACTGTCTGGCGAGGGCATTTGCAGTCGGTGTGTAGAGGTCAGAGGTCGGGTCATGACCCAGGTTCAAGTTCACGGCCTTCATCTTCGGAAGTGGCGTGGTGAGCAAACATGGCGATGTACACAATTCAAGGACTTCGTGTGAAGGCAATTGACACAGAAAATGACAGTGAACTGTATCCTGATGACCCTTGCGTATTGTTTGAGTCATATGTATGCTTTGCAAGAAAAAGGTGCCGATGTTATTTGGGTGACTGTTAATGTCAGCGGCAGTGATATGCAATTCGAGTTGGATACCGGTCGAGGCACTCGATCATCAACGAGAGCACCTTTGAAAGAAGTTCAAAGGATGCGAATTACGAAAAGCGGAAATACTTATGAAGACTTACACAGTTCAGCATGTTCTTGATTTTGGAATAATGAAAGTTGGCGTTACAAATGGCAAAGATGTACATGAACTTGATTTACACGTTGTGAAGGGGAGGGACCACCCTGCTTTCGGAAGATCATGGCTACCATTTGTCGAAATTGACTGGAAACGTTTGGGAGATGAGATTCACTATTGCAAGGAAGACAAGAGTGACACACAAATTCAAGAATTATTGGTGAAATACTGTGATGTTTTCTCCGATCAGATAGGTACAATTAAGGATATCAGAGCTCACTTATCTTTAAAAGATGGCATGTCTCTAAGATTCATGAAGGCAAGACCAGTGCCCTATGCTCTACAAGAGAGGGTAAATGAGGAAATAGATAGGATGGAGAAAAATGGTGTGTTAGTCAAAGTTGATCACAGTGAGTGGGCAACTCCTATAGTGCCAGTGATCAAAAGTGATTCAAGCGTAAGGATATGTGGGGATTTCAAATCCACAGTGAATCCAGTACTTAACATTAACAAGTACCCACTACACAAAATTGAAGATCTGTTTGCCACACTTGCAGGAGGACAGAAGTTTTCTAAAATAGACCTGGCGCATGCCTATCAACAAATGGAAGTTGATGCTGATTGTCAGAAGTACCTAACAATCAACACACGAAGGGTTGTTCAGATACACAAGACTAGCATTTGGTATAAGCCTCAGCTCCAGCGATATTTCAGGCAGCCATGGACCAAGTGTTACAAGGACTTGATAAAGTGTTGTGTCACCAAGATGATATTTTGGTGACTGGTGCAAATGATAAGGAACACTTCAGAAACCTCGAACAGGTGTTAAAGAGATTGCAGGACTATGGTTTGAGAGTCAAAAAGCAAAAATGTACATTTTTTGTTGACTCTTGTGAAGTACTTGGGACACGTGATTGACAGAAATGGCTTGCATACAAGTCAGGACAAAGTACAAGCTGTACAAGATGCACCAAGACCGGCAAATGTATCTCAACTTCGTTCCTTTTTGGGTCCAGTGAACTACTATGGGCGCTTCATGAGAAACTTGTCAACAGTTCTTCACCCCTTGAATAACCTGTTGAGGAAGGACAAGAAGTGGGTTTGGTCTCTTCAGTGTGAGGCAGCATTTAACAAATGCAAAGCTATGATAGCCAGTTCTGAGGTTCTGTGTCATTATGATCCTTCACATCCATTACGGCTAGCATGTGGCGCCTCTTCATATGGTGTTAGGCGGTGTTGTCACATGTGATGAGTGATGGATTGGAGACCTATTGCATTTGCATCAAGAACTTTGTCTGCAGCTGAAAGAGGCTATTCTCAAATTGATCGAGAAGCATTGGGTATTATATTTGGTGTAAAGCGCTTTCACCAGTACCTGTATGGCAGGCACTTCACACTGATAACTGATCACAGGCCTTTGACAGCTCTATTCGGAGCTGGTAAGCCAGTGCCGCAATCACTGCAGCTTCGCATGCAGAGATGGGTGCTAATACTGAGTGCATATGACTACATTATTGAGTACAGAGCGTCAGAGAAGCATGCCAATCGCGGATGTCTTGTCTAGGTTGCCTTTGAGTACAACATTACAAAATGAGAATTTTCATGATGATGTAGCGCTGTTCTATAACAGCCAATTTGAGCAGCTGCCCTGTCTTGCGCTGGCGTGAGAGCGAAACAAGGCGTGATGCACTGTTGTCTGAAGTGTACACAGCAGTGATGAATGGATGGTCCAAAGAGCATGAAGATAATGCTCTAATGAAACATTTTACACAAGGAGAAATGAACTGTCTGTGCATATGGGTTGCGTGATGTGGGGAATGAGAGTTGTCATTCCAATGAAGATGAGAGAACATGTATTACAAGAACTACATATGGGCCATTTTGGTGTAGTGAAGATGAAATCTGTAGCCAGAAGCTACATTTGGTGGCCTGGCATTGACAGCGATATTGAGGGTATCGCCAAGACATGCTCAGCATGTCAAAGTAATCAGGCAAATCCATCGTCTGCACCAGTGCGACCGTGGTCATGGCCATCACGTCCTTGGCATCGTATTCATATGGACTTTGCTGGCCCCTTTATAGGTCATATGTTCCTATTGATTACGGATGCATATTCCAAATGGCCAGAAATAATAATCATGAAGTCTACAACTTCAGCAGCTACAGTGAAGGAGGAGGTGAAAATTGTTTGCCCAGTTTGGGTTGCCACATCAGTTAGTAACTGATAATGGGCCACAATTTGTTTCAAATGAGTTTGAGGCATTCCTGAAGAGTAATGGAGTCAAGCATGTTTTGTCCGCTCCGTACCATCCAGCGACAAATGGTCAGGCCGAAAGATTGGTACAATCCTTTAAGCAGTCCATGAGAGCATCCGAAAATAGTGATGGAAATGTTGAAAAGAAAGTTGCTCAGTTCCTGTTAGCATACAGGGCTGCTCCGCACTGTGTCACAAATGAGACACCAGCCAAGTTATTCTTGGGACGAGAACTGAAAACAAGACTGGATTTGCTAAAACCGGATATTCAATCTGTTATGTCAACAAAGTTGTTGAGTCAAAGTGGTAATATGACAGAGACCAGACAAGTGGACGGTAAAGTGTGGGTGAGAGACTATCGTGGTGCAGATAAATGGGTACCAGGACAAGTTACTGCTCAGCATGGTGAGAGACATTATTATGTCGATGTGGGTAACGGGCAGTGTCGCAGACACATCGACCAGTTGCGATCCAGAGAGGAACACAATATTAGCCTTCAAATTGAACCAGATTTACCAGAGAGGTGTGCAGCACCGACGAGAGACTCTAATCATGCTAGTGTCTCATGTGGTGAGACAAGCTCACTGGAGCCAGTGCTTCAGCCCACTCCTAGACGCTCAAGCAGGACAATCCGTCCTCCAGATAGACTGAACCTGTACTTAGGGAACATCTAACAAAGTGGACTCTAAATATTAGCTGAATGGTCGTTGAATTTTATCTCCTGTTAAAGTTTTACCTTTCTAGTTAAAGTAAGCCAAAGTAAATACACTAACTCAAGTGTTTATTTGGTAATAGTTCATCTGTTAATGATAGTTTAGATAGTTTGTTTATGTTTAAGAAGTTTTAGCTTTTACTTATAGGAACTGTTTATTTATTCAGTGGGTTTCCCTCAGGTATTCTTTGTAAGGGGGGAAATGTTATGTTATGTCATCTACATCCGCGCGTATGAGCGCGTGAGCACGTGGTGTGATTACGTCACATAGTGACGTAATAACCTTGGCAGATGTACCTCACTTCGAACCGTGCGATTAAACTATGCAGACCTACGATATCCCATGTGTTTCATTTAGAAGGTCGGAGTCAGTACACAACAAAAGTGGCTACATTTACACCAGTGAGTCCAAACTTTTGATGGGTAGTATATTACTTTGTCACATGACAATCATTATCATATCGACAAATACAATTTCTTTGTATTATGGGCCAACTTTGTGGATGCAGGGCAACACATGAAGAAATAAATTATGTAGATAAATATAAAAATGTTTGCATTATGGATTTATGGGCAAAACTGGTTAAAGAATTAACACATGGTAGCAGGGTTCATACACTTGAAAGTACCCTAAATTTCATGACTTTCCATGTTTTTTCAAGGCTATTTTCTGAGTTTTCCATGACAGGGCTAGCAAGGACCCAGTACTTAAACACGAGATTAAAGGCCACCAAACTTGGAAAGAAAACAAACACCTTTACTAAATCATTTCTTTTGACATATTTAAGATGACTTTTTCCATTACATATTAGAACTGACACTGCAAACTGTCATGTGTAAAGTCTGTTTTGGAGTTCCTGCACTTAACACACATATTTAAGTTTCAGGTGGAGTATCTTCCGAACTTCTCTTGTTTACAATGACTTTCAAATTTTTTTCATCTCTAGTTTTAAGATTTCTGTGTTTTGCAGACTTCAAATGACTTGTAAGGTGAGCATCGCCCATATTTGAAATATCAAGGTCTTTCATGCAAAGGCAACATTCCGCGTTGAACTTCGTGGGCTCCTTCTTATCCACGAATATTTCGACTGCCATGGGCATTAAAAGTACAACGACCCGGCATAGTAACTAAACAAATCGCCGTTAACTTTTCTCATAAACTGTCAAAACAATTGATCTCGTTTTCCTTCCAGTCGAACAGAAAACCCGCCATTTGCAAATGGAAGTTGCGAAATGATGGAATGATTTGTGAAACGGAATAATATATTAATATTATCTACTTACTCAGCGACTTCATAGCTCAATTGAGTATAATGTCGCTTGATAGTTTTTTACTGTGCAAACAAAATACAAGTGTAAAAATGTAATTTTTCAAGTAAAATTTATATTTTTATACTTATCCTGATCTTTTGCTTATCTCCCTTTTCTTTTCGAATGGTAGTGGAAACACTTGAATCCCTTGAAGTTCCCGAAGCAGACGTAAAAATACACTCACCCACGAGTTACCTCCCTTTTGCCCTTTTCCCGCGCAAACAGTCATGTGACCAGCCTTACTTGTCACTCTCTCCTGATTTTCTGCCCATACACTTGGATCTGCTGTGAAATCCGAAGTGTTTCCAGCGGGGAGGTTGGGAGGGCTTCTCGTCATGAGTCAGGATAAGTATAAAAATAACAATTTTACTTGAAAAATTAAATATTTTTTCTTATCCTGACTCATGATCTTTTGCTTATACAATCCGACAGATTGGTGGTGGGTGAAGCCAATTCGATTCAACAGCTGTCCTTAGATACGTCCTGTATCCCCCGGCATTTCTGTGATCCTATTCTTCCAACTTCCTTGTCTTACTTCAGTCTCAGACAAGTTGAATCATGTTGATTCATGTGGCTACAGATAAACTAGTATCTTCTTATTACTAGATATCTTATAACAACCCATAGATTATGATAAGATCTTTATCATAAAGAGTTGAGACCTCTTCACATACAGGTAAGATCTTTACCCGTACAGGATCTTTAATCACTCATGCTAGCCTGTCCTAGACTGTGCACATGGACTTTCAAACTAATACTTTTCCTTAGTAAAAGTTATCAACAAGTCAGCGTGATAAAGGGTGATATTTTCCAACTCAGCGCCTTTGAGGAACCGTTAGTTGCTGTGCTACAACGAGAGGCCCAAATTGGTGAATGCCTGAGACGTCTTCAGTGGCTATGTCTCGGAGGTTATGGTTGGCAAACACCGTGTCTGACTTCCAAAAGCAGCCCCCCATAATTGCTGGTATAGAGCAATTTCTATGCAGAGCCAGTGTTGACGCCAGCGCTCTGACTTCATGTGGGTTGGAAGCTCTAGGAGGTTCTAGTCCTGCTGCTTTATAGGCTCTCAATATGAAGGCTCTCATCCAGAACAATATCGTCATTCTTGAGACTTCTGCTGATGTCTCTGTGGATAATGGGATGAACAGGCGCTTGAATTTTTGTCTCCTTGTCTTAGTCTTTTGAAGATATATCTTCAGGGCTCTGACCGGACACAAGGATAAGTCCTCTATATCCTCTGGTCCAAGGATTGTAGATAGCGCTGGTACGTGGAACTGTCTATCTGGCTGACCAGGTAGTTGGTTCTTGGCAATGAAGTCCCATCTAAGTCCTAGATGAACTGCAGCATGTTGCCCCGTGTCAAATCTGGTTCGACCAAAGTCCAGTGCATGTATCTCTGATATTCGAGCTGCCGTGGCTAGCACAAGCAGGAACAGAGTCTTCTGTGTCAGCAACTCAAAGGTAGTCTGATCTAGAGGTTCGTAGGCATCACTCGTAAGATGACGTAGAATTACATTTAGATCCCAGGCCGGAACTCTGAACTTCTTTTGCTGGTCCTCCAGTTTAAAAGATCTCAGCAGAGCAAGTAATTCTGGTACTTTCGTCAACTTGATGCCTGTTTTCATGGTAATGACTGTACTAATGGCGGCGATGTATGTAGATAATGTCGAACCTTTCAGATGTCTGGTCAGTCTAAGATGACACAGGTATTCCGCCACTTGAGGATGAGTAGCTTTAGGATGAGAATGCTACTGTAGAGTTGTCCGTGTGGACCATCAGCATTTTGTTGTTCAACAAGCTCGACCATAGTTGTAAGGCGTTGATCATGGCTGTCATCTCCAGCAGATTGATCTGAAGATGCTGCTCTATTTTGGACCACCTTCCTGATGCAACTTGATTGTTGAGATGCGCACCCCAGCCTTGTATCGAAGCGTCTGCGTAGAGATGTGTGTCGAAGGCCGGCTACTAATAAGGATATAATGCCGTATATGGGACTCCAGTGCTCGCCCAACCATCCACTTAGGCGAAAAGGGAGAGAGCGACAAGTAAGGCTGGTCACATGACTGTTTGAGCGGGAAAAGGGCAAAAGGGAGGTAACTCGTGGGTGAGTGTATTTTCAAGGGATTCAAGTGTTTCCACTACCGAAAAGAAAAGGGAGATAAGCAAAAGATCATGAGTGAGAATAAGAAAATATCTGTTCGATTTATGACCTTTCAACATCATAAAAACAATCCCAAACCGTTAAAATTAGCGAGCCACATTTGTGATACACCCGAAACTCGGTTACTCCACACAGCGCTACCATGCACACTGTAAAATTAAACAACGATGCTCAGAGCTGAACAGAATGCTGGTCGATAGTTTTTTTCGCAAGATCTCGTCCTATTTCATTTTAATTTTAAAACGAGAGTGAAAAATATTAATTCATGAGTTGAAATTTCACATGAACTAAATTTCCATAACTTTTCCATGACTTTTTAAATATATGCCCATTTTCCATAGATTATCAAGGCCTGGAAACGCAATATTAATTTTCCAAGACTTTTCCAGGTTTCCATGACCCGTGCGAACCCTGTATTAGGAAGATCTTCCTGGACTTGGGACTTATGTTCGTCATTCATGTGATTTGTGTGGATTAGATTCAATCCCATTTTCATTAATAACAACTCTCATTTTGCCTCATTCTATACATGTACAACATCCGCATACAATGTTCCATAGGAGTCCACCTTTAGCCACACTATGACAGCACCAATTCACATTATTCTCAGCAATCACAATCTTGTTACTGACTTGACAGAGGTCTTAGTTGTCAGAGAATGGACACTAATCAGAACTTTAATACTTAGACTCATTTCTTACATTTTTCCTATTCTTATTTACAAAGTTTGTTCAACTCCAACAATACAACAACGTTCTGACAAGGCACTAAATAGCAATTACACTGTGCATTAAAACAATATTGTAGTACCTGATGTATACTCCATGAATGTATAATGCAAGGGGTCATCCATGGACCCCCACAACTCGTGTTAAGGTGACTTACTGATAAGATCATGATACACTGAGTATTCTGTGTCCGTGTCAGGGATGCTGTAGTTGGCATTGATGATCCTTAGTTTGGCAGAGTCTTCGAACGGATGGTCCATGAAACACAGCTTGAATAGGACACAACCCAGTGCCTGCAACAAGTGGGGACACCAACATGACTAAACAAGTGAGTGAGTGAGTGAGTGAGTGAGTGAGTGAGTGAGTGAGTGAGTGAGTGAGTGAGTGAGTGAGTGAGTGAGTGAGTGAGTGAGTGAGTGAGTGAGTGAGTTCAGTTTTACGCCGCACTCAGCAATATTCAAGCTATATGGCAGCGGTCTGTAAATAATCGAGTCTGGACCTGACAATCCAGTGATCAACAGCATGAACATCGATCTGCGCAATTGGGAACTGATGACATGTGTCAACTAAGTCAGTGAGCCTGACCATCCGATCCCGTTAGTGGCCTCTTACAAACAGCATAGTCGCCTTTTGTGGCAAGCATGGGTTGCTGAAGACCCATTCTACCCCGGATGACTAAACAAGAAAAGTACTTGCATCATCTAGATGAAATGAAGGGCCCCAAACATTTTCCTCGCAAATAGAATTTGAAAGCAACAAACACTTGCATCTAATGTCACTTCTGGTTTCAGAATACATTATCAGTAACAACAACTCAAAGCAACCCTGTAACCTTAATTGGTTAACTCATGATGGGGTAAGATGTTGCATTGAAACAATGTGTATGCATAAGAAATCCTCATCTACAATATTCTTTGCTGTAACTAACTTCCAAATCCTTACACAGACTTTCATAGGCTTTGTCATTTCAGAAAGGATATTGAAAATGTTGAATACTGGACACACTGACTCACAAATGTTAAATAACAATATGCCATATCATAAATATTTAGGAGAGCTCAGAACTTCAGGGGTTCGTTTGACTACTGATTGTTAAGCATGCATACATTTTCGGAAGAAGCAACAACCATGTCTTCAGATTATTACTTTCATGACTTTGACCTTTGAATTGCTATTGACTGCCAAACACGAGCACACATTACTACTGATTAAAATACTTCAATGGCATACATACATACATACATACATACATACATACATACATACATACATACATACATACATACATACATACATACATACATACATACATACATACATACATACATACATACATACATACATACATACATACATACATACATACATACATACATATGATAGTCTGTGTGGCATCAACAGTAAACATCTAACTGTTTCATCGGACTGTTTACCGCTTGAACAACAAATAAAAGACATATCATGTACTACTGGCAAGGTATGTATCTTTAGGTATCTCTGATAAAGTTGCCAGCAGATGCTAGGAGCAATAATAGATATGTCCTAAATGCAAACAAGAAGACATGGTTATCAATATCCCCCACCAGTGTTCTGTTCCTACTTGGTTCCTGTTTTTTAACTCCACCACAACATTCATGTCCTGAAATCACATACCACATTTGGTTTCCCTATCTATAACAGCAACTGAGAAAATCTGGTAACACGGTTTCAGTTTTTGAACCCTATCAAGGCATTTGTGTCCTGAAAATACATACCACATTTGGTTTCCCTATCTGTAACATTTTTTGAGAAAATCTGTTCACATTGGGGATATCGTGCAATAAGTCAAGAAATGCATGACAAGGGCCAAAACTCTGTAACAATTTGTAACACGGTTTCAGTTTTCGCACTCCATCAAGGCATTAATGTCCTGAAAACACATATCAAATGTGGTTTGCCTATCTATAACGTTTTTTTGAGAAAATCTGTCCCCTTTGGGGATACTGTGCACAAAGTCAAGAAACCAATGACAAGGGCCATAACTTTGTAAGAAGTTTTTGAACTCCATCAAGGCATTAATGTCCTCAAAAGACATATCAAATTTGGTTTGCCTATCTATACAGTTTTTGAGAAAATCTGTACCCATCATCTTGGACGGACAGACGGAGCTCAAACCAATATCCCCCTCCCACATCGTGGCTGGGGATAATAACCTTCAAGTCACAAGTCTTGGAAAGGAACTTAAACAATAATTGTACACAGAGTATATCATCCATAATTCTGAGCGCTGAGTGGCTTATATCTGTAATTATTCAAATACATCCTATGTGGTCATTTCTTAGAAATAATATGAATGCCAGTTAGTTGTAAGGGAGCCTAGCCGTTAAATGTATGAATAAACGTTATAAATCTTCTGTTACTTACAACATGCAGGCTCTTCAAATTACCATACATTTTTTGGTTAAATGGAAACTTGCATCAGCAACATTAAAGGTATCAAAGGGCTAGTAGAATTTCAAACATTTTGGGAGCTGTTGCTGTGTGCTATCTCTACTGTGGTGTTCAAAGAGAAATTGTATATATCAGCAAGATATCAACCATTTCAATGTATTGAGGATGAATACAAAACCATCATTTGTGATTTGACAAATAATCTTAAGAATAAATACCACTTCATTCTTTTTTGAGACACTAGTATAAGACAGCAAATTACAAAATTTGTAGATTCAGTCAATAACATTGCTGGAAAGTGGTACTTTATCACGAAAATACTTCCATGTCTTTACCCAAGTGACCTGGTTCATTGCTAACTAAGTTCTGACACAGAAGGATGAGTTTAGTCTCACACTTTTTGGGGTTCAGAGGTTGGGTTGCTGTTTGGGACTCATCCCCAAAATACTAGAATCTGTACTTTACTGAGAGTGTCCTCCCAAACATAACATGTTACATCAGGTTAAATGTGTATTTACCCATATGTCGCCTGCCTCGTTGATAGGGAAGTTCTGGTACAGGTCCAGCATCTCAGGGGCTCGGTACATAGGTGTTGTGTTCTTAGCAATCTGCAAGCAAAGGATGTCGGGGACCACAAATGAACAAATCTCTAAAAATGTAATTTTTGGAGTAAAATTGATATTTTATACTTATCCTGACTCATGCTCTTTTTGCTTGTCTTCTTCTTCTTGCGAACATAGTGGAACACTTGTATCTCCTTAATTGAAGCTCCCTTCAATTTAAAATCACTAATTAGTATTCACCACGAGTTACCTCCTTTCCACAAGCGCGTGAACGAGGGCGCCACCTCTACCCATGTGCCTCACTCTCTCCTCATATACTGAGCCCAACATTTGAATTTACAGGGAAATCCAAAGTGTTATTTGGGGAGGATGGGAGGGCTGACCTCATGAGTCAGGATAAGTATAAAATATCAATTTTACTCCAAAAATTACATATTTTTCCTTATCCTGACTCATGCTCTTTTTGCTTGTAGCATCCTATGGAACGGAGGTGGGAATATCTAATACTTTGGATTTTTAATAATTAGTGATTTGAACTGTGATGATTGTAATAACCCTATGGGAACTTCATAAAGGCACTGAACTGATGAATTCCTGCTGCTAACTTATCAGCTGCCATATAAAAGGTTATTACCATGTACTTATTATGATAAAGTATATATAACATTAATACAATGCTTAAGACTAATAGACTTAAGCTTGTTAATATGCTAGTATAAACTCCTTAGAGTTTGTTAGCTAAAATACTTTTAAGATATAACATAGTACTAAGCTTAAGATATGATTAAACTTAAGCTAATTATATAATAGCAAACTCTTTAGAGTTTGTTAGTTAATATACTTATATGATATAGATATAATGCTGAGCTTAAGATATGAATAAGCTTTAGCTACATATATAATAGCAAAAACTCTGTAGAGTTTGTTAGTTAATATATTTTTATAATATGAGTATAGTACTGTGCTTAAGCTATAATTAACTTAAGCTACATATATAATAGCCAAACTCTGTAGAGTTTGTTAGCTAATATATTTTTATAATATGAGTATAGTACTGTGCTTAAGCTATAATTAACTTAAGCTACATATATAATAGCCAAACTCTGTAGAGTTTGTTAGCTAATATATATTTATAATATTAGTATAGTACTGAGCTTAAGATATAATTAACTTAAGCTACATATATATAGCAAAACTCTGTAGGGTTTTGTTAGCTAATATATTTTTACAATATGAGTATAGTAGTGTGCTTAAGATATAATTAACTTAAGCTACATATATAATAGCAAAACTCCGTGTAGAGTTTGTTAGCTAATATATTTTACAATATGAGTATAGTAGTGTGCTTAAGATATAATGAACTTAAGCTACATATATAATAGCAAAACTCCGTAGAGTTTGTTAGCTAATATATTTTACAATATGAGTATAGTATTGTGCTTAAGATATTATTAACTTAAGCTACATATATAATAGCCAAAAAACTCTGTAGAGTTTATTAGCTAATATGTTTATAGTGTAACCATAGTACTAAGCTTAAGATAAGATTAGACTTAAGCTAAATGTATATAGCAAAATAAACTCCTTAGAGTTTATTAACTAATATACTTTTTATGTTAAAAACATAGTACTGAGCTTAAGTTATGATGAAACTTAAGCTATATATATATAATAACAAAACTCCGTCGGGTTTTGTTAGCTAATACCTTTATAATGTAAACATACTGCTTAAGATATGATGAAAACTTAAGCTAATTGTATAATAGCGAAAACAACCCTTTAGAGTTTGTTAGCTATGATATAAACCTAGTATTGAGCTTATGAAGGAAAACTTAAGCTACATATATAATAGCAAGAACTCCGTAGAGTTTGTTAGCTAATACATGTTATAATGTAACCATAAAGCTTAAAATATGATGAAACTTAAGTTTAAATATATAATAGCAAAACCCTCTTTTAGAGTTTTTTGATAGCTAATATACCTATATGATATAAACATAGTACTGCTTAAGATATGAATAAGCTTAAGTTACATATATAATAGCTAAAACTCTGTAGAGTTTGTTAGCTAATACATGTTATAATATAACCATATTGCTTAGAAATATGATGATACTTAAGCCAAATAGCAAAAACTCTTTAGAGTTTGTTAGCTAATCTACTTATATGATATAAACATAGTACTAAGCTTAAGATATGAATAAGCTTAAGCTACCTATATAATAGCAAAACTCCTTAGAGTTTGTTAGCCAATATATTTTAATAATATGAGAATAGTACTATGCTTAAGGTATAATTAGCTTAAGTTACCTATATAATAGTAAAACTCCTCAGAGAGTTTGTTAGCTTAATTAACTTAAGCTATGTATAAAATAGCCAAAAACTCTGTAGAGTTTGTTAGCTAATGCATTTATCATGTAACCATAGTATTACTCTTAAGATATGAATAACTTAAGGTAAATATATATAATAACAAACTCTGTAGAGTTGTTAACTTATATATTGTATGATGTAATAATCATAGTACTGTGATGATAAAAGGAACTTAAGTAAATTATATATAGCATGAAGCTATTTAGTATTGTTATAAGATAAGTAAAAATCTGTTAGATTGACTTATCTTCTCCGAGGAACTGTCAGCTGTTGTGCGAGGACCATGGGATCGAATTGGTGTATACCTGAGACGTCCTCGGTGGTGATATCTCTCAGATAATGGTTTGCAACCACCATATCGGATTTCCAGAAATAAACCCTCCATTATTTCAATCACATTTGTGTAGAACAATTGTAGAAGTTAGCGCTATAATATCATGAGTATTAAGCTCATGGAGGGTCGGAATAGGTCCATCCGCATATGCACGTAGTATGACAGTTCTGATCCAAATGGAGATATAATACATGAGACTTCACTCTGCGTAAGTTGATGATAGAGAAAATAATCTGTTGCATTTATTTCTTCTGTTTGGTTTGGTGGAGATAAATTTACAGTGCTCTTGCTGGCCATCTTGATAGAATCATCGTCGTATCATGGGGTCCAAGTATGTCATCCAGGCGTGTTCATAAACCTCACTTGTGAGGTGTTGGAGCACTATATTCATATCCCCAGGTTGGGCGTGAAATTTCCGTTTTATTCTCCAAACAGAAGTTTAGTAGGTTTACTAACCATCTAGTTGTGTTAGTCGCTTGATGAAATTCAGCTGTAGTCTGAAACGCTGTGGATTTTAGATCCACTTGTATCTTTCGTCCTAGGTAATTCGCTCGCGAAGTCCTTTTGATGATGTAGGTGCACAACCAGGTGTGTCTGTCCTCGTTGAACTTTATGTAAAATCGCCTGACTGCCGATCCCTCGTCTTAACTTGACAGGGGAGGTCTCTAACTTGAAGAAAGGCAGTCTAATCATGAATGTTCAGGTTAACTGGACTGTAATGAGGCTTGCTCGTTCACTGATATATAGTTGTCACTTGTGACGTAAGTCTTGAACTGTGAATAGAGATCGACCTCTGTGTAGGTCGTTGTCCCTCGCGGTCCAATCAGAACAAGGCATTTTGATTCTGTATAATACCCGCTGCTGTGATGTCACCGGTGTGTAGCGGAAAAAACCCACCTTGAATAAATTCTTGTCGTCGTTGATATTAGCATAAACGTCGGTCTTCACCGTAGCTTCCCCGAAGTTATCCGAGTGACCACGTGTTTCGAGGGTTAATGGTAACCGCCAGCGAAACCTCCGGTGAAATATCTCGCTCTGTAATTTTATGCTGGGTAGGTTATTTTCCTGGTTGTCGTGAAAGTAATTTCAGTTTTGAATATAATTCCGACTTCCTTATATATAAGGGTATAAACAACTTGCAAGTTGTGAGCTTGTAGACTGTATACATGAATGTATCGTCATAATTGTAGAATTAACGTTGAACTTGTTGTACATATTTCTTCTCAGAAACTTTGACGATTAAGAGTTAACGCTGTAACAAGGCTGCTGTTCAATTTCGATATTGAATTGTCTGCAGATATGCGTAATGGTCACGCATGTAGATAATCGTATCGTCGTCCGGGATTGTATATTAGCAATTTATACGAATAGTTGATTTCTGTGAAGATCTATGAAATGTCGTTGACTAATAATACAGCGGCGTTCTGTGTTGTAAATAGCCTGAGCAATTATCTTCGGCGTGGAAGGCTTATAGGCGGCATCTGGCATACAGTTGATAATCAACTTATCGCGGCGTCTTGAAACGGACTGACGAGTAGCTATATATGACGAAGTGGCTAGTATATGGAAACCTTGGAGGAGACTTCCTCGGTGAGCGCCGGAGACTTCGCGAAGTTCTCGGTATCCTTCTAGATCTTCTGGGTGAAGTAGACTTGGAGCCACTTAGCCTTCGTGACCATCGCGAAGGTGTCGAGTCAAAGCCCGATTAGTATATATATATATATATAAATATATATATGAGCTTGCTTCGTGAACAGCCTCTGTGTTAACAGGATGTGGGATCGGTGGCGCTTGCCTAAGTAGGGCCGCATGGATCATCTTATCATATTCAGAAGTCGTGTTACGAAGTCTGGTGATAAGTGTCTAATTGATCGTTCTAGATCTATTTAGGCCAGCGAACATACGTCTCGTCATGGATTCAACAGAACCAATATCACGATTGTAGTTCTTATACTTGATATCGATGATCAACTTGTCTATGGGTTGATCTTCGGAGACTTGTGAGGGGCGTTGATAGTTCGCTGAAGCTCTTGTATAGTCCCTCGATGTCCTTCTAGATGATGATGATCTGGATTCAGGTGTCCTTCAAGCATGCCTTCGCCTGGCTTCCTCTGCGTCCGGTCGGGGAACGACGATATGACCTTCGCGAAGGCTTCCGTGATGTCTGATGGTCCGAGTCCACATCTAGGGATGAAACCGCATAAGGTGATGATCTATCCTGCCTTCGCGAAGTCCTTCGCGAAGGCTGTACATCTAGGTTCTTTCCGCCTTCGCGAAGGCTGTACATCTAGGTCCCTTCCGCCGAAGAAGGCCTTCGCGAAGAGCTGTACATCTAGGT